ACTTGTATAATGTATACATTCATTCCGCACAGACTGATATATTTCCAGTGGGGAGATTCACAAAGAGTGAACTGCAGCTGGAGTCAGTGCTTCAAGAACCACCACGCACAGACGTATGCAAGACATGGGTTTCAGCTGTCGCATTCCTTGTGTCAAGTCTCTCTTGAACAAGACACAGCGTCAGAAGCGTCTCACCGGGCTAAAGACAAAAAGGACTGGACTGCTGCTGAGTGGTCCAAAGTTATGTTCTCTGATGAAAGTAAATTTTGCATTTCCTTTGGAAATCAAGGTCCCAGAGTCTGGAGGAAGAGAGGAGAGGCACAGAATCCACGTTGCTTGAGGTCCAGTGTAAAGTTTCCACAGTCAGTGATGGTTTGGGGTGCCATGTCATCTGCTGGTGTTGGTCCACTATGTTTTCTGAGGTCCAAGGTCAACGCAGCCGTCTACCGGGAAGTTTTAGAGCACTTCACGCTTCCTGCTGCTGACCAACTTTATGGAGATGCAGATTTCATTTTCCAACAGGACTTGGCACCTGCACACGGTGCCAAAGCTACAAGTACCTGGTTTAAGGACCATGGTATCCCTGTTCTTAATTGGCCAGTAAGCTTGCCTGACCTTAACCCTATAGAAAATCTATGGGTTATTGTGAAGAGGAAGATGTGATACGCCAGACCCAACAATGCAGAAGAGCTGAAGGCCACTATCAGAGCAACCTGGGCTCTCATAACGCCTGAGCAGTGCCACAGACTGATGGACTCCATGCCACGCCGCATTGCTGCAGTAATTCAGGCAAAAGGACCCCCAACTAAGTATTGAGTGCTGTACATGCTCATACTTTTCATGTTCATATTTTTCAGTTGGCCAACATTTCTAAAAATCCTTTTTTTGTATTGGTCTTAAGTAATATTCAAATTTTCAGAGATACTGAATTTGGGATTTTCATTAGTTGTCAGTTTTAATCATCACAATTAAATGAAATAAACATTTGAAATATATCAGTCTGTGTATAATGAATGAATATAATATCCAAGTTTCACTTTTTGAATGGAAGTACTGAAATAAATCAACTTTTGATGATATTCTAATTATATGACCAGCACCTGTAGTCTTATTCTCATTTAGTTGGAGAAAGTTTATTGCCATTGCCATAATATCATTTTGGCAGTTAAAAATGGACCGCAAGGACGCTGTATCATCAGCATAACAGTGTATCTGCAATATATTATGTCTACAGGGAATGGAGCCCAAGGGGAGCATATACAAAACAAAAAAAGGCCCCTGGATTGAACTTTTAGGTACTCTACATTGAATTGCTGCTGAAGAGGAGGAAATGTTACCAATGTCAGAACAGGAAAGGTTCAAGTAGGAGTGAAACCACTGTAGAGCAACACCCTGGATACCACCCCTTGCTGGAGGCAATCCAGGAGGATGTCATGATCAACCGTGTCAAAGCAGCGCCGAGGTAAAGCAGGAACAAACTAGCACAATTTCCAGTATCACCAAAAAACAACAAATCATTCAGTACCATAAGCAGTGCTGTTTCTGTGCTGTGATGTACCCTGAAACCTGACTGAAAGTTATCCAGCACATTGTTTTAAGTTAAAAATGAGAACGACCTTCTCCAATATTTTGGAAATTATAACTTCCCCATCAGGAAACGCTGTGGTTGGATAAGGAAACCAGGTTTTCAGCGGAGAGTCTGCATGTATTTTAAGGCTTCATGGTGTGGCTTGCATGTGGGAGGTATTTTAATGTCAGGTTGAAATCATAGATGTGTTTGTTAGGTATGGGCGGGTCGTGGGGGCTCATTATTAGCTTATTAAGGCTGTGCATGTGAAAGGCCCATGCTGATGGATTCCACTACAGTCATTTGCACCACACCATTCCAGAAAATCCAGTTCCAGCATTTTTTAAATTCTCACTTTCTGCCCGATTTGTACATGACTGCTACATTATAGCTGTGATGAGAGATGGTGGTTGTGGTTAAAAAGCCAAACATCTGTAATGGGATACAAACTCAACTTTCAGTCAGAAGTATTACTCGCCATCCACCTGCTGCTCTGACCTGCAGACTCTTTTCTAGAATTAGACTGGAGCCCAAACACTCTATTCCCTTTAAAGGTGCTTTCCATTACACGTCTTTTAGAACACAGCAGATACTGGAACGGGGGATCAGACAAACCCTCAATAGTCAAGTGAGGCACTAAGACGTGTGTGTGTGCGTGTGCGTGTGTGTGTGAGCCAAATAGAACACAAAACAGTCGACAACATTAACACACACACACACATCAGACAGAGAAGAAGCAGTGCGTGTGTGCGTGCTGTGTGTTTGTGTGTGTTTGTGCGTGTGTGTTTCCTGTTGGCAGAAACAGCCCAGGGCTTCAGAGGGCCCAGACTGAATGAATACCTGCGAGCTGTTGCACCAGTTTGATAGCAGAGTAACAATTGACAATAAGGATCTTTGTGTGAGAGACGGTCACAGCCAGCAAGTAAATATTTCTACTTTATACTTAATTTATCTGATGCCTGTCATTATTACGACAGGTGCCATACCTTCATTTACTGAAGTACTACTGTACTTATGTACAGGTTAGGATTACTTGTACTTAACAAAGTATTTTCCATTTAAACAACTTCACAACATTTTAGAGGGAACTTTTTACTACCGTAAATTTACACGACAGCAAATAAAAAACAAACATGTTGTTATAAACTAGTGTTCCACATCCTACTTCTTAACGTAATGAATGTAATAATCTAGTAATATGTAATAAAACGCTACAAGTATTTTAACATCTGATACATTTTGTTTTACTTTGGTAACATTTGAAATAGTTTAACTTGTTTTGGAGTATTTTTTCTTTGTGGTATTACTTGCACCACTGGTTTTTACTGAAGTTAATTTTCAGATGAAAAAATATAGAAGATTAAGACTCCATGCAGAACTCTAATTAGGTCATGATTCAGATAAATATAAAAATAGTTTTGAGTATATTTCGAGTGTAAATTCTTTTCCTGTTAGTTAAGTCTCTGAACCTTTGGTTGATCAGGAGGACTACTACTGCTCAAACCCAAATCATGCAGAATATTTCCAGCAGTTTTCATATTGATAAAGCATCAAACAATTAATCTTATAGTATTGGTAATAATCCAGAACAATAATAATATTAACCATAATTAATATTTAATAATCAGTAAACTCTTAAGAAGTTTAGAAGTAGAGTCTGTGGGGCCTGTGAGCCTGGTGTTTCCTGAGCTTAGCAGGAGTGGTTTTAAGTTTAAGACGGATTTTGTCCTTTCATCAGCCCCTGTACGGCGGAGGACAGTGCTGCTATATCTAACATTTATACTAGTACAGTGAAGTGTCCACATTAGCCAGGTGAGGTTTTTTCACTTCATACTTTGTAATCTGAACATTAGCATACAGGATAGAGAGAGAACAGAGTTTACATCACACAGCTGCACACAGGTTACACATTTGAAATTAGAATCTGGAGCCTGAGGCTGGTGAAGTCCAGTGAAGTGGTTTTAATGAGGAGCGGTGGAGCTGGAACAGCCCCCTGTGGTCTGCTCCTCTCTGATCATGATGCAGAAGTAATTGACTTTTACTTTGGAGGTCATTAGAAGAGATAAGTGCATTGCTGCTGACGCTCTCCTCACCTCTGACCCTCTGATGTCTGCATAACAGGGGCCTCCAGATCCAAACAGCCATGTGGGCCTTTGCTCTACTCCAGATTCAGCACCTCAAAGGTCTTGTTACGAGGACTGAGGTGCTTTTTGTCACCTCTATGTAAAAAAGATCAAAAAGGTATACCTTTTTTTCCTTTTGTTTCCTTTTTTTCAATTAAAAACTTACAGAGTGGCTGTTTCATAAGCTGCGACCAGAAATGTAATCTGACCACTTTCATGCCAACAGTATATCAAATAAATCAAAGCTGTAGTGAAATGGGAGAATGTCCACAACTTCAAATTTTAGTGTTCAACAAAATGTCTGCTGAAGTAGTATAACTCAATCCAAACTGGCTTGTGTGGTTCTGGTCTTTACCCTCAAACTGGGAACCACTGCTTTAAACTATGACCATGGATTTAAAAGCAAAATCATAATATACAAACTAGTAACTCCAGCTGTCAGATGGTACAGTAAAAGTATGGAGGCTTTAAAAGCAGCAGCACATGTAAAGTGTACGCACGATATGAGACTGTTACGGCCATCATATCTTTGAGGATGGACAGATGTCAGTCTCAGTTCTAGTTCAAAGGTTTCTGCTTTTGCTTCCCCTTTGCTCTCCTGATTTCTTTCAAAAACTACACGTAAACCATGTCCCGAGTCCCTCAGAGCCACACCTTATAGCCTATTGGAATGCATTACGTTCACTACAAGATCCTTATTAGACCCACTGATGTCCGCATACCAGGGGTCCTGAGATTCTATATCTTAGACAAAAGTTGTAAAGTGGGCACAACAGTTAGAAACTCATTCAGCTACAATTTAAAGACATAATATTTCTACTCCGCTACATTTTAAAGGGAAATCTTAATGTATCTGAGAGTTGTATATTATAAAATAACTTCGGAACCTACTACCCAGTGATATATTGAGAAGTTTGCACCACTTCACTGCGTGTCCTGAGTGCAGCCTGGATCTCCATGTCATCACTGACCTGCCTCATCGATGCGGGTTAGTTCAGCTGTGTGTCAACTTCTGCAGAGACAATTGGACTAACAGGTGCTGATTATTAACTAAACAGTCTGTGTGCAGAGAAGGGATGAAAAGCCTATGAGACAAGTCAGGCTATTCTCTGTGTCATTAAAACTGTCACAACGCATCAACACTGTCAAAGCAATGTGATTATTAAAGAGCTAGGTGGACTGCCTATACCTGTACATTGGTTTATAAAACATTGTAAACGGAATTAAATCCAGACAATCTGATATAAAGCTTTGTTTCATTTCACTGTTTGAATTAATTCCGTTTTATATTGAACTAAGTGAAGACTTACCAATCAACTCTACTTTTGAACTTCTCCGGAGAATCGGGTTGTAGAAGCCCGCCGAGTAGCGTTGTTTGTCGGGGTAGAAGAGTTACTGAGGCGGCAGCATGGACCTGCGCTGCTGGCTCAGAGAGGAGGCTGAGCTGCGTGGCGGTGTGCTGCTGTAGGAAGCCTCTCCCCGCTCTGCTTGCGCTCCAGCTGCTGCCGCCTCTTATGGCAGTCCCAGTCCGACTCCTGCTGGCGCGTCACTCAGTCAGCCCCCAGCCCGCAGGACGCAGCAGGCTGCTGCCATATGCTCCTGAGCTGTTCCTTCGGCCCTGGAGACATGGACATCTTCGAAATGAACCAATAGGATTTGATTTCTACAGATTTTTGATTTTTTTTTTTATAATAAAAGATGAGTCAACAAATTTGTGCCTTTAACTGTAATAAACTGTATAATGACAGGAAGAAGAAGAAGAATGTAGAATTTTGGTTTTTGGTGAATTGCATTGGTAGTTCACTATGTAGTTCATCACTATGTGTCAGAATGATCTCCACCTACAGTTTAGGAACCACTGTGTGGAAAAGGTAAGGCTAGCATGTATCAGTGTCAGTGTGTAAAGGATGAAGTCTGCAGCCTGCAGCAACCAACAAGGAAACCATGTTTCAGTGAACAAAATCTGCCATCTGCTGGAGAATTCTTTCTACTGAGAATCTGTCAGAGGAGTGTGTGGCCTGTCGATTCAGCATAAACCCAAGAACAAATTTGAATCTGAGACTGATGACTAAAAATGGCAGGAAGTGGATTATATTGGCTTAGTGTGATCTGATCATACATTACAACAAATTTGCCAGGGCTTGCAAGTTTGTAAATGTGACCATAGCTATCCATCAGAGATGTTGCGAAGAAGCCCTGCAGCAGTAACACCTGAGCACCAGACATCATTTACTCTCTGTGTAAAGCACACTATGTACTATAAAGAAATGAGCATCGAAGTTGATTCGTAATTTGAAATAGTTTGACAAAATAATTTTGAGTTCCACTAGTTTCTGCAGAAGCTTTAAACCACATTTCATGGTCATCACATCATGTACTATGGACATTCACTCACCTGGTAACAGGTAGCATAATTTAAAGCATCGCAGTGTCTGGACTGTCCGAACATCTTGCCAGACTGTTCCAAGTCATACTTACCACAAACAGTTAGACCCTACAAGGACACCCTAACAACAGGACCCCAGTATCTAGAGTGGTGTATGACCTCATCATGACATCACATGTGACAGCTCCATCAACACTACATCAATGAGTAGGGGGCCTGTACAACAGTCTAAATGAACACCAGAAACAGACATCAGATGATCTAACAGAAGAGGTCAACAGTCATAAACCAGGACTCCACATTAAAGTCAGAGATTATCTTTGAACAGAGACAGAGGTTACCATCTCCCCCATATCACTGAACTCCTATACTTGGCTCACATGATGCAGGTTAACTTCCCATGTACCTGAAGCAAGATGCACACACACACACGTACTCTATGATGCTATTTACAGAAGCCCAACAGTTCCCACCAAGAGCAAGCACTAGGCGACAGAGGCAAGGAAAAACTTCCTTTTAAGAGGCAGAAACCTCAAGCAGAACCATGGCTCAGGGTGGGCGGCCATCTGCCATCTGGGGGTGAGAGAGAGAGAGAGAGAGAGAGAGAGAGAGAGAGAGGGCAGGAGAGGAACAGAGAGAAAAAGAGAGGGATGGAAGGAGAGAGAGAGGGGAGGGAGGCAGCCTACACAATATACACACAGAGGTACAGACAGTAAAGGTGATGTTGCTATAGAGTAAATGAAAAATGGTACAGATATTTACAGTAGTGTTAATGGTAACAGTCGTAATGTTAATGATTATAATAACAATAGGACTAGTAACAATAGTCGTTGCAGCAGAGGGTGTCGAGCAGGAACACGGGGGCAGCAGGTGACCCGCAGCCACAGATCCAGACTCCACAGCTCCAGAGCCAGAAACACCTGCAGGAAGTGACAGGAGGAGAGAGGAGAGGGACGAGAAAGCACAAGACTACTGGAAAGGGGAGAAGTTGCGTTAGTAACATGCAATAATGGGATGAGGTTGCATACAGAGGGAGAGAAAGTAGAGGAGAGAGGAGCTCAGTGCATCATAGGAAATCCCCCGGCAGTGTAGGCCTATAGCAGCATAACTAAGGGATGGTTCAGGACTCACCTGAGGCCAGAATAAAACACATTTCTAAGTAAGTAATTAAGTTGATCTCTGCAAGAGTTAAGTTGAGCCCTGTCCTATAATAAGGACATTTTCTTGTGTTTCCCAGGAGGCTAAGTTGCTGAAAACTCAAACCTTGGTTCCAGACTGTAGTTTTGAGCAACTTAGCCTCCTGGGAAACACAGGCTATCGTGATGCAATGCCTCATGAAGACAGTTGGGTCTTTTGATCAAGAGAGTTGGAGATTTTTGATGGGACAATCAGGACTTAAGAGAGGACTTCAATTTTTAAAATATAAACAGACACCATTAATGATCAGACTTTTTTCCAAATGATATTCAGGCTTACCATGTGCTGTGTCTGCTCTTCTGTCATGACCTTGAGAAAAATTATTTAGCCAAGCACAGCAGGAATCTCCCAGAAATTAGGTGTAGCTACAGAGCCTTGCTGTCTTTGTGAAGGAAGAAGCGGTTAAAATCAAATGATTACAACGCAATCTGAGGAAGATGAGGATGGTGTGTGTGTTTGTGTTTGTTTGAGGGTGCTTGAGGGAAAAAAGCAAGAAGATAAAAAACACCTTCTGAAAGGTTGCTAGATTTACTAAGAGGCATGAGAGGGATGTCAAAACCTGGCAGAAATTCAGACAGTAATATTCATATTAATTAGAATCTTTTTTTTTTTAAATATTAATAGTAGCACTAAATGCTTAAAAGTGCAAACAGCAGCATTTGTAGGCTAAGACACAAAACATGTACTCAGAAGCTTTATGAGGAGGAACAATGTTATAAAATTAAGTAAAACCCTGTGCATGAATCACCATCCTTTGACTTGTAGACATGAAAATGATCCAAAACAAAAGACAGGTGGCTGTACATTCAAGGCACTAATTTCAACATCAAATGAGCAAAGCTTCTTTCAATCAACTTTGGCAGTACTCACATCATCAACTCTTCTCTCATCAATATCAGACTGCTCACACTCCTGACTCCAGGAAAAATATCCAGTAAAAGAAGGCACTGCATATAAAGTTCAAAATACACTAACACCCTCGGAGAACAGAGGTCATCCTTTTCTATGCTGATAACTTCCACTGATTTGGATTTTACTCAGTAGGTATTCATACTATCACAGAAACAAAAGAACACGTGTGTGTTTGTGTGTGTGTGTGTGTGTGTGTGTGTGTGTGTATGATGTGAGCTTCTCCCTCACGCAAGGTCCATCTAGAAAATACCATTCTTGAGTTTCATTACTTTAGAGCTGGCTTTTTGTCCATTGAGCTCAAGCTTCTGGAATTCCTCAAAGGTAAATTTCAACTGCTTGGGATAGCTAAGGTTAAGAATAGATAGATTGAATAGATTGCTCCCATCAGTAAAACACAGGATCTGGTGACATCACTCCGCTGCAGGATCTTGGTTCCCTTGACTACGATGGTTGCACGCCCAACCCCGATGATGGCAATCTTCATCACTTGCATCGCAAGGTCTGCATCATGCTCCTCCACATCCTTGCAGAAGAAATTAAAAGGTGTAAGGATGTATAAAATACATGGAGGCTGGTGCACAGGATTGAAACGGCCATATCTCCACGTGGGAAGGCTACAGAGACATGCAGCTCAAACAAAATTAAAAGCGTACTCAATTACTTACACGGTACTGTTTGAAAAGGTCCTCCTCCTTCTCTCCAAGATAGACTATGAGGCAGTGAATGGCAATTTCTCTCAGCCTTTCAACCTGATTCATGGAAAAAATAAATCAGGTGTTCTATAAAAATCATGACAATTTGAAAACAATTTGTGCAAGCAGAAAGGCAAGAGGGTGAGGACTCCAGCCCTTGCCTGAAAGCAAGGACCCTATTGTTATTGTATTATATTGTTTCTTTTTATTATTATACAATTTTTCAGGCTTTTCAAAATATATACATTATTCCTGCATACTACAGACTCCAAATGTCAAAATGTAGCCACAAGTCTCATCTATAGATGTGTGTAATTTGGTTGAGCTATATTTTATACTTTTATATACTTTTCTGGGCACCCACATGTGCACCCTATTCCTCTCCCATTCAATCCTGAATCTGCCTGCAATTGTGCAAATTGTGCAAATATGCAACTGACCTTGTGACAACCTACAATTCGCCAGGTTTCACCAACGTGGAAAACCCTGGAAACGCACATTTTATAAACGAGCCACACTGATTCGTTGCCGGATGGCGCGACAATTAAACCTCTTCTCGGTAAATATCAGTGTGTCGGTAGGAGAGAGTGGGAGAGGAGCAGTGACAGAAGTGGACACGCTCTAAGATTGTCAGAAAAAAAATCAAAGTAAGGTAATAAATCCCTTGCGTATCGTTTTCATCTGTGACTTTCGCCCATCCTGTACACTTCACCTTCAGATCATCATTCTACAATCGCCGTGTTTGCGGAAGCCAGTAAAACATTCACAACCCAGCAGCAAAAATCCAGACTGGATTCTGTGACTGACTGACTGGACTCCGTGAGTTATCAAACTCGTTTTTCTGTGCTATGACGTTTTTGTATTGTTGTGCCTGAGAAACTGAACCATATGACCCATTTAAGGAACCTGGTTCTTTGAGACAGAGATGCTTTTGAGTGATGGCCTCTGCAACCTCACTGATCTGGAGAATAGATGGATAAGCAGTGTACTCATAAATAGCCTCCGCTAGTTTTCCAAGGATGTCTGGGAGTAGTGGAATTAAATCTTTTGTAGTGAGAAGTGTCCCATATTTTTTGAAGCGCTCATTGGCTGACTGAATTTGGATCTCTGTGAGGCCAGAAAAGCTGGGAATTGAAAGCTGGGAACGATGGCCTGTACTATCTTCAGATGAGAGAATCAGTGTGTCATCTGTTGACACAGATGCGGTGCCGTCAAGATAGTGCTCCTCACAAGGCTGATCAGTCATGTTGGTCACCAACATGACTGATACTCCGTTATATCTATCGATCAAACCAGATGAAACTCATCAGTTAGCTAAACTTCAAATGTGCATTCAGGATATTAAAACCTGGATGACCTGTAATTTTCT